GAATCCCCATCCCCGGAGGTATTTAAAGGACGTGTGGACGTAGCACTTAGGGACATGGTTTAGTGGTGGACTTGGCAGTGTTAGGTTTACAGTTGGACTCGGTCATCTTCCAGACTAAGTGATTCTATGAATTGCTAGAACCTCTGTCGGCTTTGAGGAAGAAGATGAGACAGAGGTGATCACACAAGACTCTGCACTCTGGACTGACTGATTTTGGTAGCCTGGCAAAAGAGCTTGGGAGAATCACGTCACTGGAGGAGACCAGGGAGTTTGTCATCATTTAAACATCAGTTTCATAGTGTACAGTGTTATGGGATAACTTTGAGAGAATTGTTTGTTTCCGATGGTCTGTTCTCTGTTAGGTAGTCTTAGGTTTGGAGTAGGTGGGATGTTTGGCAAATATCCAGCAGAGGTGTTACACTGAAGAAAAAAAAGCTAAAAAATCACAGTTAACCTTCAAACTTGAATGCCGGCAAGGTATATCAGACAACTTCTTTGTGTGAGACAAGTAAACGGTATTGCTGACATGAACTACTGTACAAACAGAGCCTACCATCTCTTTGGCCACATCAGCCAGACTTTCATAAACCACTAAATGCCACTGCTCACCGCAAGGGCTGTTTCCCTGCCGAGCATCACCTCATTGCATCCAACTGCTTTACACACTGAAGCAGGTGACACTTTGATCTCTTCTTTGTTTTTGTTTTTTTTTCCTAGTTTGTTTTTGTTTTTGTTTTTCCTAGAAGGAGAAACCACGTGTTTCATTTTGCTTTCTTCAGCGAGCAAAGTTGCTTTTGCTCAACCTTTCCTGAAAATGTCCAGCACTGGCATAGATTCTGATAGAATTTTAGTTTGCAAGGTGGCAGTTCTGGAAAATGCAGTATTTTTGCATGAAAACACATAGCCTGGGGTATGTATGTTTGTCGTGAAGGAGCTGTCTGGTCCCAGGCAACCCAGTATGGCCTTACACGTCCCTTTCAAGTTAACAGTGCCAGTGCCTTTTGGCAGCCCAGGGTATTAGGGCGGTATACAGCAGATGCTCTTAAACTTTCAGCCCGCAGTACAGGAGCTCTTTCTCCTCTAGCCGATTCTCCAGTGGCACTGGCTGGCTCTGCACAGAACTCCAGAGAAAGGACTCTAACCGTATTTTGTCCCGCTTTCAGGTTTACCGCCAGCAAGAGTGGGCTAGCAGTGGTCTGGAGCAGTTGCGCCAGGAGTCCTCTCGCCAAGGGCACGCGCTGGCCAAGGTGTCCAAAGAGAAGGAATTGCTGGTGCATGAGAAGGCTGCCCTAGAGGTGCGACTGGCAGCCATGGAGCGGGACCGACAAGGCCTTTCAGAGCAGCTGGCAGAGGCCAGGTAAAGGCAGGGAGGCATGTCCTAGGCAGGACGTGGTTTAATGTCTGTAATTATAAAGGTGGTAATCATTACACGGGGGTTTACTGCACTGCATCCTGTGTGCTTTTCAGATGTTTTCACCTTGCCTGGACAGAAAATGGAAGAATCTCAAGGGGGGAAAAAAACCCTAGACCATGCTTTGGATATGTTATTTTTCTGACAGCTACAGCTAGCAGAGCTCTCCTGAGCCTTGGGCTCATGTTTATGCCCCCTTGCGTTTTCCTGTGTGAAGTCCAAAGCAAGCCAACTTGGCCCTGAATTGAGTAATACTTCAACCGTGCAGTCGTTTACGGAAACCTGAAGCTTCTCTCTGGTTTTGGTTTCTTGTTCTGAGCATTTGAACGTAGATCTTTGCTTCTCAAGTAGTTGGACGTGGGCTCTTCAGAATTCAAGGCTATTACATACGGACGTTGTGAGTAGGACACTGCCATTCAGGGTGAAGCTAGAGGCTCATGCTGAAAATCCTGAGGGCCTTCTGTTTCTAAGCTAACTCTTGTTAAGTGTGGTGCAGGACCTAGAGTTGGTTACACCAGCAGCAGGGAAACGTCTTTTGAGTTCTCAACAGTCTTCGGGGATTCTTGCCCATCATTCATGTCGGGGTCCTGTACTCCTTACCACCTGCTGTTTAGGGACAGACATCATGGAGAAGTTACATAGGGAAGGAAGAAGATTCTGTGCTTCTGCTGTATCAGATTTCTAGGATCGAATCACAGAATCAGGGAAGCGTGTAGGGTGGAAAAGACCTTTAAGATCATCAAGTCCAACCGTTAACGTAGCACTGCCAGGATGCTATTGGCCTTCTTGGCCACCTGGGCACACTGCTGGCTCCTATTCAGCC